AATATTTTAAGACAAGGTGTTCAAATATTTTCCAAATCATTTCTAAAATATATATATATAGTATCAGAATTTCTGTGCACTGAGGACAAGCAAGTCCTAGGTTACAAACTGAACTCTCAAATGCAAGAACAAGATGCATTTCTTCCTTTAGGAGGTGCGATTGTCAGAAGAAAATTAAAAAGTTTCACAGTTTTGTTTTTGCATGTGGATGGGTATTCTGTTTGTAATAATTGTTTGGATACACTATATTTTTAATATGCTAGTTGTGATAATTTCATGCCAAGTAAAAATGTCCATAGTCATATTTTATGTTCCTAAAGTAACAGAATGACTTTCAATCTAGAAAAGACAAAAGAAATGCTAATGTAGCATTTTTTTCAATTTTTCCGAAAATTTCCATTTCCCCCCGAAAAAAACGGGTTTTTTTCCGAGCTTCAAAATTTCCGGAAATTTTACATTTCTATGACTGACCCGAGGCCACCCAGGTGGCTTCATGTGGAAGAGTGGGGAATCAAACCTGGTTCTTCCAGATTAGAGCCCGCCACTCTTAACCAGTACACTGCATGGCTGGAAGGCTGGGACAAGGGAAAGCGGGATGGCCTTGGGACAGCCAAACCCAGCACTGGCTGCAGCAAGCCTAGCCCTGCCAGTTGGCAGGGACTGGCCCAGGAGAGGCTTAGACAGGCTCAGCGAGCTGAAGGCCTGCCTGTGTCCATCTCCCTGCATAGCCAATGGTGCTGGGAGGGCTGGAGGGAAAGGCAGGGGGAAGCGGATGTCAAGCCAATGAGGAGGAGAAACGAACAGCCCTATCCAACACACCCCCAGGGTCTGTCTGAGACTGCTAGGGTCAGGGAAAGGAAGGGTGGTGCAGTGGGGCACATTAGAAGTAGGCTCCGGTACAGGCTGAGGACAAGGAGAGGATTCAGCTCTGGTGCAGTAGGAGCTGCAGTCCTGGGGTAAGGAGAAGGAACAAGGTGACACAACCCATTTCCCTCCCCAATTCTGCGGCCTGGGGAGCCTACCAGTGATACCCAGAAAAACAGCTGAGGGTAGGCCACCCATGCTGGAGATGGGGGAGCCTCACATATACTTACTTTCAGTGTACTTGAGTGAGCGAAAGACTTTTCTTTGGGGGGTAACTCGCTTGATATTGGGATGGTCTTCCAGTGTCCGCACGCCATCTTTCTGTTTCTCGTTGATCTGGATCACCTCAAAATCACTCGGGTAGTCGCTGGCTGGGTTGTTCCGGGGCACAATCCTCCAATTCTCGATGTCGCTGTTCTTCAGAGCCCAGGAAATAAATTTGCTTCTTGCCTGGGCTGAGAAGTAGCCATGGAATGCCACGATGTATTCTGGAAAGAAACAGACACACATTAGGGCATCACAAGTGCTGTCTTGCAGAGAACGATGGATAATGACCAACTCTGCTTGCAAAAAAAGAAAGAAAAAAAGCAAATTAAAGGAGGATCCTTGTGAGTTATTATCCCAAGGCAAAGGCATTGATCAAGCATTAACAACATGATGCAGACATAACATTAACTGGGCTTTACGCATTCCAATCTCAAAGTAAGCTCAAGGAAATCTCTGGAGACAATTATAGCCTGGGGTAGTCACAATGCCGAACCTGAGTACAGAGGATGGAGAAAATCCACAACAGAGAACAAAGCACAGCCTGTTCCCAAACCCTGGGTAATGGTACATCTAAAGGCCTAAGAGAAATAAGACAACTCAGGCTTTGAAGGAAGGATGATATACAGAGTCATAAATAAACCAAACATTCCATACATATGTTTGTTTTCTCTCTCTCTCTCTGTTCCCATTATGTTTTGGAAACCATCCCATCCATTGCTAAAGCAACCTCTGCTACAGCAGCAGTCTTGGAGATAGATAACCTGCCTGCCACTTTCGGGTACTACAAAGGCCTTCCCCAAACCCCACTCTCCTGCCTTTCCAGGACTGGCAGCTGCGCTTCCACCTTCCAGAAGGTGGCCATCCCAGCCTAAAAACATAAGTGCGCTGTATACTTGGCTTGCATGGATCCTGTGAGAAGGGTCAGAATTAGAAACTGTTCACTCCAAGAACGAAGCTAGCTGGTGCCTCCCTTAGCAACTTGGAGGCAAAAGAGGGAGCAACAGCTAAGGTGACAGGACTTATTGGCAGGCCTCCTTGGTATTTGGGAATTGGACTTTTCACCTTCCACCCACTTCAGAAGGAGCCTCCAGCAAAACTGACACATGCATTAGGATCTGGAAGTGCAATGGATGACTTGGGGCCAGTCACTCTCTGTCAGCCTTACCTACCTCATAGGGCTCTTGTTAGAATTTTATTTATTTACTTATTCTTTGGATTTGTATCCTGCTCTCCCCGAAGGCTCAGGGATAAAATGGAGGATGGGAGAATGATTATTTATTTATTTAGTTAGTTGGATTTTTATCCTGCCCTCCCCTGCATGCAGGGCTCAGGGCAGCTCACAACAAATGATAAAACCAATAAAAACAGTTAAAAACAATCAGTTAAATTATACAAACAATAATAATTAAGTCAACATACAAGATGGCAAGTAGGTGTTAAGTGCGTAGTGCTCCAATAAAACCTATAGAAGGGTTTGTACCGCAATCACCACCGGTAATCTTTGATCAGATATCATATCAAGCCAGAGCCGGGTGAAGCAGGGGAGGCTAATATAACTGGACACTCGTCACCTCAACCAAAGGCCTGGCAGAACATCTCCGTTTTTACAGGCCCTACAGAATTGAAGACGATCCTGCAGGGCCTTGATCTCACTTGGGAGAGTGTTCCACCAGGCCGGAGCCAGAGCTAAAAAACCTCTGGCTCTGGTTGAGGCTAAGTGGATGTCTTTTGGGTCGAGGACCATCAGCAGGTGTTGGTCTGATGAGTGTAATGCTCTTCAAGGGACACAGTGGGAGAGGCAGTCCTGCAGTTATGTTGGTCCCAGACTGCACGGGGCTTTAAAGATTAATAGCATAACCCCAGACTTGATTTGGTATTCCACTGGAAGCCAATGCTGCTGGCGGAGCACTGGTTGCATAGTGCTCTGAGAGGTGTCCCAGTAAGGAGGACATGCGCCACTGCAAATTTGAATCAGTTGGAGTTTCTGAGTCAATCTCAAGGGCAGCCCTGCGTAGTCTGGAGGGGACCACTGCATGGATCGCTGTGGTTAAGTCACAAGGAAAGGGATAGGGAACCAGCTGCCTGACCAGCCGAAGATGGTAAGAGGCTGTTCTGGCAACGGCCATGACTTGGTCTCCATAAGCAGTGAGGCATCCAAGACCACTCCCAAACCCCTCACTGTCAGCAGTGGTGTCAATAGCACCCTGTCAAGGGTTGGGAGCTGGATCCCTAACTCCACCCCTCTGTGACTCAGGCATAAGACCTCCATCTTCAATGGATTTGAGAAGGCTCTGCTGCAACCAACCAGCCATGGCCTCTAATGCCCTAGCCAGAACCTCTGGGGTGGTGTCTGGTCAGCCATCCATCAACAGATACAGCTGGGCGTCATCTGCATACTGACAACCCAGCCCAAACCTTCGAACCAATTGGGCATCGGGGAGGGGGAGCATATAGATGTTAAATGACATTATAAGCCACTTTGGGTCCCCACGGGGGGAAAATCTCTAAATAAAGATCAGTCAGGGAGACCTTGCTCTGTGATCCATCAGGCCGAACAGGTTTTGAGAGCTTGGAACAGGCCCTTTTCTTCTGCATCCTGTAAACCAGGGGTGGCCAAACTGCGGCTCAGGAGCCACATGCGGCTCTTTCACACATATTGTGTGGCTCCCAGCAGGGCGGCTGGGGAAGTGAAAGGGAGGCATGCCTCCCCAATCGGGTTTCCCTTCCCCAGCCAGTGTTCCCCTCCCTGGATAGGCTTGAGTAGAGAAAGAAAGCAACGTTACCTTTAAATGCATCCTCAAAGGCACCCCCCCTTCCTTTCTCTTTTTCTGTCTTTCTTTCTTTCTCCCTTCCTTTCTCTCTCTTCCTTTCCTCCCCCATCTATTTGCTTTCTTTGTTTCTCTCTCTCTCTCTCTCTCTTTCCACCTCTTACCTTCTTTGTTTCCACCACCCACTTAGACAAATATCATTAGCAAACAAATAAATATCATTGGACAAATAAATATCAGTATCAATATCTGTTTTTACCCCTTTTGTTTTTATTTTTGGCAGTCTCATTTATAAGGTTAATAAAAAACAAATTTGCATATTTTTTTCAATAAAAGCATGTGTGCAATATTTGTTCATGTCTTGCAGCTCTCAAACATCTGACGTTTATTCTATGTGGCTCTTATGTTAAGCAAGTTTGGCCACCCCTGCTGTAAACTGTGGAACTCCTTCCAGAACCTGGCAAGTGTTAGCCTTACAAGACTGTGGCTCAGTGGAAGAGCTCCTGCTTTGCATGTGGAAGGTCCCAGGTTCAATCCCTGACATCTCCAGTTAAAAAAGGACCAGGCAGTAAGTTATCTGAAAGATCTCTGCCAGAGACCCTGGACAGCCGCTGCCAGTCTGAGCAGACAACAATGACTTGATGGACTCTGGGGCCGGCGTCAGCATATCCTAATGTGGGGCAGCTGCCAGGAGCCATAACTTTTGGTGGGCTCACTTCTGCTGACTCCCTACTCATGCATTTCCTCTGATGCCTGCAGTCACACTCTTCCACTGCCTGCTTGTGAGTGCTTTGCCACTTCTGCTCCCAGTTGCATCTGCTGCCTAGTGCTGCCAGAGGGCGTGTGGATGGTGCACCAAGCATCCACATTCCTGGTGACCATGGCAGGGACACTCCCAGCTGTACCCACTACCCAGCACCATTGGGGAAAAGGGTGTACAGGCCCTGTCAGCAGCTATTACTACAGGTGGTGGTGGGAGAGCTTGCAAGTGGGCGGAATGATGTGCAAGCAAGAGGGGGGATGTTGGTGGGTAGGCAAGAAGATGGCCCTGGTAGTGGGTGCAGGGGGGGCCCTGGACACTCTCTGCCCATGGCCTCCCCAAAACTGGCCATAGACTGATAATTTGATTTAGTATAAAGCAGCTTTATGTGTGAATGTGTACAGATTACTGTGTTCCAGATATCCTATGAACAGCCTGCAGATGATTTAACTACGACTGTTACACAATGTGGCTGCCACCCTCTTCTCTCCCTGCCTCCAACTCTGAGCCTGTGCTTCCTCCCCCTGCCCAGACAGTCCAGAAATGGGATATAAATCCCAGATACGCCATCTTGGACTTTTTATACCTGTTTTTTTTAAAAAATCAGAATTCTGTTTATGATTAGAATTTTATAGTATTTACATTTGTTAGGGGCTATATGCCTTCTGTTCTATATCACCCTGAGCCCTCACTAGCGGGGATAGGGAGACAAAGACGAAGAAGTCGTCGTCCAAGGAATTCTGGGAGCTCTGCAGAAACTTGTCTGAAAAGGTCACTAATACTGGAATATGAGCTAGTCCTAGTTCTTAGTACACATATCAGTGGTGAAGCCCAATGAGCCTGTTTTTCAACTCATATGGAATACGCCCCAGATGCTCAGAGATCCCAAAGAAAACAAGTCAACATAGAAAGGGTACGTTATAATGGCTTGTAGGGTGGACACAGCCAACTTATCCTGTACTTTAAAAAAAAAAAACAGTACTATTCTTATTTTATTTATGTAAGACTATTCTGCATTTTATTATATTTCATGCCATTAAAGGTTTCTGAATCTGATCTAAAAAAAACAGAACAGAGGACACTTTCCAAGCATTACAAGCTCAACCTTACACAAACCAATAATCATATCATTTATTATTAGACTTTTTAAAAGCACATTTACCATGTTCCACTACTGTTGATGAAAATTCTACTTTCAGCATATGACGAGGGCATTCAGGACACTGGGGGCTCTCGTGAGAAGAATTCCCCAGCCTGGTCCCCAAGTGGTGTCTGCCACAGAGCAAGATCGCAGTCAGGAACAACCAGATGTTCGTAAGCCTCATGGTCAACAAAGAATATGATTTCATCGCCCAAATTCCATTAATTCAATTAACCCGATGCTTCGCCATTAATCAGTTCTTTTTTTCCTTTTGGTTTCCGAAAACTGTGCCTTTCTAAGTGCTGCTCAACTGGACAGTCTAATGGTTTTGTCCAAGATAAGTAAAAGTCTTGCCTTCATGGTCTTTTCAAATAAAGCCTAGGAAGGCTCATTTCTTTCTACGTTTTTTCTCCATTTTTTGATCGAAAGGTCCCGTCATTCAGGAACCAACAGCTGAGTCCCATGCTCCATTCTGGGTGGAAAAGATAAGGCCAAAGCAGCTAAGATTTGTCCCCAGAAAATAAGCAATTCAACCTGTGGGAAAAAACATACAATAATTACCTAAATCAAACCATTTCTAACATCCTGTACCGATGACCCACACGAAGATAAAAAATTAACTGCAACCCTGCTTCTATTTACCCTTGCGTGGCTCTCATCGAAGTCAATGAACTTAGCTGTAGTTAAAGGTTGCACAGAATGGAACTTAAACTTTAGCTGCACAGCATGCACAGCTGAATATGTTTTGTAATAACAGTAAAAACAATTGCGCAGGGCATTCAAACATTCCAAGCCTAGATACATTACTATGTGGTATACTGGTTAGAGTATCGGATTAGGATCTGGAAGACACCAGTTCAAACCCTCATTCTGCCGTGGAAGCTTGCTGGGTGACCTTGGGTCAGTCACAGTCTCAGTCCAACCTACTGCACAGCATTGTTGTGAGGACGGAATAAAGAATAAATGACGTAAGCCATTTTCGGTCCTCCTTGAGGAGAAATGTAGAGTAATGAAGTAAATATTTTTTTTAAAAAAAACTGTGCCAAGAAGCAGAGAAATGTGAGATGGCAGTTCTTCCACTTTGTACCATTCAACTCTGCAGTTTACCGGGGGAGGGGGTGTTTCCCCTTTCAAATACTTCTATGTAGCTTTTATTTATTTATATAAAAACATCCTTACGCTGCCTTTCGACCATCACGGTCCACAAGGTGGTGAACATTAAAACATGAAAACAATTAAAATACAGTTCAAGTATAAAATTCGATTAAAAACACATAACAAAGAACACTACAAGGAGAGCCAAAGCCATTAGTGGGGGTTATGCCAGAGAAAACAAAAAGGTCTCCACCTGCTGGCAAAAGACACCAATAGAGAGATAGACAGACAAATCTCCCTGGGGAGGGAGGTCCTAAGTTTTGGTGCCACGAGAGAGAAGGCCCTTTCTCAGGTCACCATCCATCTATTTATTTATTTATCTATCTATCACATTTATACCCTGTCCTCCCAGCCAAGGCCAGCTCAGGGCGGCTGGGGCAACAGAAGCAGGGTTTCCAAGAAGGACTGCAGAGAGTGGGTAGGTGCAGATGGGAGAAAGCGGTCGTACAGGGCTTAAAGGTCAATACCAATACCTAGAATCAAACCCAGAAGCAAAGTGGAAGCCAGTGTAGGTGGAACAAGATTAAAGTGATGTTGTCCCCTATGTCCCAGTCCACTCAGCACTCTGCCCACAGCATTCTGTACCAATTGTAGCTTCCAGATAGTCTTTAAGGGCAAGTCCCACACAGAGCACATTGTAGCAATCTAATTTAGATGTTACCAAGGCATACACCACAGTGGCTAGATCTTTTCTGTCCAGGAAGGGCCACAGCTGCCTAAGCAGGTGAAAGGCACCCCTGGCCCGCTGCCACCTGTTTATGCAACAGAAGGCTCAGGGTAAGGAGCACCCCCAAGCTACAAACCTGCTCCATTAAGGGGAGTGTAAACCCATCTAGAACAGGAGCTAACCCGGTTTCCCGGGTCAGACCTTCCCTGCACCAGTAGCACCACCGTCTGGTTGTGATTAAGTTCCAGCTTGTCAGCCCTCGTCCATTTCAAAACTGCCTCCAGGCACCTCTCCACCATTTCCACAACATTCCTGGAATCTGCTGCTCAACCCATATCTCCAGAATACCTCTCCCAACGGCTTTACACAGATGTTGAAAAGCATGGGGAACAAAATGGGAGGCTCCAAAGTCTTTAGGGCACGGCTCAACGACCTAACACATATTTATTCTAGTGCAACCAGCCCCATTCTACACTCACAACACCCCTCTGAGGTGGGTTCAGCCGAGAGTGACTGGCTCCAGACCTCCCAGAGCGCTTCGTGGTTGAACGAGGATTTGGACCCGGATGTTTCCACTCCCAGCCTATCACTCCAACCGCTTACTGGCTCTCATCACTGAACGCCACTCCTAAGGGAATGCATTCCCCACGCGCTGAAAGCTAGCACATCAGGGAGAAGTCAAACCTCCCCACCGAGATGCGAGCTTTCTACACGGAGAGAGGTCGCCGCCGCCCCCCGCCGCCGCCGGTTTTTGATGGAAGAGCATCCCAGTCACGCGACTGCAGCGCAGTCTGAGGGGAGCCAGCCCCAGCGTTAGGAACGAGGCCTGAAAAAGCAGAGTAAAGGAGCCCTTTCGCTGATCGGCTTGCACAGACCCACCGCCGGCTGCTGAAACTTCGGGTCTCCGCCGCAGAATCCCAAGACAATCGAGCTGCCCCTCGAGCCGACTCCGCCTTAGGACGCACGCGAGACCTTTCCTGCGGCCCCCGACCCGCGGCCAGCAGCTGGCCTGGGAGAAGCCGCTTTCCATGAACAGCAACGGCGAGGCGGAAGCATTCTGGAGTTTGTAGTCTTTTACCGCGTCTTCGCCTGGAGAGGCTGTTATAATGCAGAACTACATCTCCCAGGAAGCAAATGGGAAATCCCGGCGTATTGTGGGCCAAATGGATGGAGGCCGCATTAGCTTTTATCGCGGAGGTCGGCCACAAAAAGCGCTTGTGCCGTAAGGCACTATGGGACATGTAGTCTTCTAATTACCCTTTGCTAAGTTTAAATGAGTCGTGGCGTATGTAATCGTTCTACGAACGCTGCTATAACCAAAACAGGAGTGGGGAAGTGATATGTCTTTTAGTTTATGGCAAGCTTGGTTTTATTAACAATGCTACGCTGAGCAGAGTCACACCAGTTTAAGTAAATCCTTTGAAGTAAATGGGACTAAGAGTCTATATACTCTGCTCAGAAGGGCGTAAAGGTCTGAAGTCATTACCACCTTTGGGAGAGCGTGGGACTCAAATCTAAATCGACAACACTATTTTTACTTCCAAGTCTTTTTTATTAGTGCACAATCACATACACTTCACCAATATTAGAAATACTTCTTAGTTCATTTAATTCAATTTTTTCTAACTACAGTTGGTCATAATCTAATAAACTGTGAACCCCAAACATTGTTAAATTGGTTTTAGTGGCACTTATGTTCCAGTAAAAAGGCTTACAATTACAGCTAGCACTTAAAAACCCATAAGGCCTTAAAAAGATTGAATCAGTCTTGCCTTCATAAGAAACTAAACTTAGTCTCATTTAGTTATTTGCCATCAATTCAGCTTTCATACATTATTTTGCAGCCTTTGTAGAAAGGAGCATCAAACCCTTTTCTCCTCCTTGTGGTAGGTCTACAGGGAGGAGAAACAGAAATGCAAACTGCTCAATGTGTATAGCATTTGTTACCAAGAAAGTTTTCAAGAGAAAATTACTAGTACATCCTTTGCCATATTTCAGTTTAACCCTGAAGACTGCTGCTAAAACGATTGGGGGGTGGGGGAACTCCAACCCCAAGGGCAGTAAAAATCACAACTAGCAGGAGACACAAGATCCATTGAGTCTGGATCAACCATCTCTTGGCTCCTCCTTGTTCTTAATACACCAGTGAGCAGTCACCCTTCATAGCAGGAAGGAAGAGAAAGAAGGAATGCAAAGGACTTCATCCTGCTCAGTTTTAGGGGATTATTTTATAAACCTTATTAGTAATCAGGTTTCAGAAACAAAGGGGGAAAAACTATGTGAAATATAATTAAGTAAACCACCATATGTATTGATGGCATTGTAAAAATAAATGCCACATGCACTCGCTGGCACCTGTTATCCAACACCATTCTCTGACAAATCACAAAGCTTATTTGTTTTCCTTTTGGGGAGTGGGGCTTGTTAAAATTTTCTAAGTGTGACTTTCTATCATTGCAATTATTTGGGGGGGACCTCCTCTAGGTCTCTAGAATTGAAACCTGAGTGGACAGGAGAATGCATCTGCTCCCGGGCATGCTAGAGAAGATACATCGTCCTACCCACTCAGATCTAAATATATAAAAATGTGAATTCACAAAACACTAAGGCACCAGGCAGAGAATGGCCATACACTGATGCAGAGATGCACTATACATTGTTGACAACTATGTTCGTGCACAAGTCAGGTCTGGGTTCTCCCTATTCAACTCGCATTCCCCACAGCCAGATGATACAGCCTGGTAATGGCACAAGAAGTGCCCTGCTGGGGCCATTTTGGGTGAGGGAAACACTGCACTGTGATCCCAATCCAAATAAGGCCCTGCAGCATTTGGTGAAACAAGTTCCCCGCAGCTGCCACCTTGCCATAAGGAATGAGTGCAAACACAAATCATGTAGTTGGGCCTGATAGTAGTAGAATAGTTGGGCCTGATAGTAGTAGAATAGAATGGTTCTATCAGGTCGGGGTGCAAAAACATATTATGTAGTTGGGCTTTACATGGCAGAGGTTTCAAATCTTGCTAAGCCCGTGGGCACTTCTGGAATTGTAAAAATGCAAGTGGGCACTACTTTAAAATGGCTGCCATGGGGAGATGGGCCACTGAGAAAACACTGATGAGTAGCAAACCAAGCATCTTCTTATGATGGAGACAGCTGTTTTTGAACTGGTTTCACCTCTGTGGACACAAAGGCACTGCCTTCTGGGTTCTTCTAAAGTATCCCTGATGAAAGTAGGTGGAGAAAAGCTAGGGATGGCAAATGGTTACCGGGAAACACATCAGCAGGCACCATATGTTGGGGATAAATTGACCCAGCAATAATCTTTTAGCAGTGGAATGAGTCATCCAGTGATCCCTGCTAAGAGAATTTGGTTCAGGCAAGTATGACTAAGTTTTCATCTGTGAAATATCAGAAGGTATGACTATCACTCTCTATATAAGAATCACAAACACTTTTTTTGCACACTCAATGAGACAGTTCAATATTTCAGCACTTCCAACAGGCTGCATACAAACCACAAATCTACAGACACATCAAAGATGACTAACGGAATATTTCTAGACAGAGAGGAATCCTAACTTGATATGGAAAAAAGGAATTATTTTCATCTGAAGCCTCACAGCTCTGTCATCCTGACATTACAAAACGCACAGCTCAAGCAATTCACTAAAAATGAAATTTCACCACATAAACTAAAAATACATTCCTTCCCACTTTAAAAAAAAAAAAAACAGCTTCAGATGTTTTTGTAACACTACATCCACTGTCCCAGTTAAAACATAAGAATCTCTGCAAAGAAATGCAGGATAGTAATAAATCTAGTACACCACATTCAAATGGTTGGACAGAATTTTGGTACTGAACAGGCTCTTCACAACACAACTTTCCATGGCCTGCAACTCTCACAGACACACTCCCTGAAGCAGCATCTGTAGTTTCCTTCATCCAGCTTCCAAAGTGTTTCTTCACTTCTGACCCATACTGGGACAAGAACCAGTTAGTATTTAACCGAAACTGAAGGCCTTTACATTGTAGAATGAAAACTTGAAAACAGGCTACCTGATCTGAACAGGTTTCTTCACCCCTTGCCTGTTCAATTAGAGTGGATCCTGAAAACAAAAATAAAAGCAGGACTGGCAGTCTTTTGAAACCTTCATGACAGATATCATTTCTTGAGCAGGTGAGAGAGAATCCCACTCAGAGAGTGGAGTTCTGGATCAATAGTTAACAGCAGGCTTCTAGGTGTTGGCTTTCCTCCAGGGTACATTCTTAATGTGGTCCTTGCAAAGTGGCTTCTAGGCGCAAAGTGTTGTTCATTCGATATGTTCCCCAGGCCCACAACCATTCTGGTATGTATTGTCCCAAGAGAAACTACAAGAGACGAAAGGCAAGTTAGAATTAAGAGCTCACTTCAAACAGTGAATCACCCACTCCTTTCTTCCACTCCCCCCCTCCAAACATCATACGTAGGATGACTTAATTATTTCAGCAGAGAAGACTAACTATAGAACTGGGCAGGGGGTGGGGAAGGGAATAGGCCAGTTTTAGGTGAGGAGCTGGTACAGACAATCATCTTTTGACATTTACAGTGCTTAAACAAGTATACAACCAAGAGTTGGGGGATCCTGGTTGCTGCCTTCATGGATTTGAAGACGGCTTTTGATACCGTACTCCATGCCCGATTGTGACACAAACTAAAACTAACATCTATTGACAAGAGACCGCTGGCTTTGATTGAAATTCTGAATTATAATCCCACTACATAATTCCTCTATGGGTTAGACAGACCTACAGCAGGGAGTGCATCAAGGGTGTGTGCTGGCCCTTTTATTAATTTACATATCAACAATATGATTTCTGCTGTCTCTACCCAGGACTGTTATTTTCCATCCATTGACTAAGGCTAAAGTTTCTGTCCTACTTTTTGCTAATGATGCAGTTCTCCTATCAAGAACACAACCAGGATTGTCCTCTCCGATAAAGGCTTTTGTCTCTTACTGTCTTAGAAGAATGTCTGACAGTTAACTATCAAAAATCAAAAATCATTGGTTTGGGGGGAGGGGGGGAATCTCATTTGACCAAAGTTTAACTGGGTCAGTGCAAACTGCTCATGTTAAAAGATTAGCTACAGTGGTATTATCTGTCATTTCTGGGACTCAAATATTATCTGTCATTTCTGGGACTTAGTGTATCCCAGCCACCATCAAACTGTTTAATGCCAAAATGGCTGCACAAAGTTTATATGGGGCTGGTATCTGCATCAACAAAATAGGGGACTCCTTGGATTCAATTCTTCTTAAATTCCTACATGCCATCTGTGGAATTCTGAATTGTGTAGCAGGAGTAATCCTCAGAGCTGAATTGGGACAACCATCTCTTGAAGCTCGGCCTTGGCTAAAGGCCTTTCCCCTTCAAATTAAAATTACACACTCGGATATCCAAGAAGGCTACCTCGGCTTAGTCAGAGAGGACTCTTTATGTTTGCCACTGGAATAAACCTGGCAAGCAACAACTACAGCTCCTCGGTCTTTCCTTGGACTCCCTTTGTGCAGTTACCAGACCGGAAGCCATAAAATAGATTATGAAATGTCTTTTTAAGTACGATTATAACAGTATAATCTGTAGAGCATGACGTATTTGTTCTACTCAATTTGTTGGTATTCTTCTACCTGGAAAGCTTCCCAATTACTGCTTATATTTGACTGTTCCTCACTATAGGCGTGCCTTTATGTTGGTGCACCTTAATGCCTTACCATCTAGAGTTCTGCAAAGGATACCATACTCTAATAGATAGATTCAGGTAGTTTGAACAAAGTTTGAGACCTGTGTCATCTTTAAGACCAACAGAGTTTTATTCAAGGTATAAGCTTTCGGGTGCACGCACACTTCTTCAGATACAATTAAATGGAAGTTACCAGTCCATACATATGGATGAGCAGTAAATTAGCATACAACATAATAAACATCTTCATTATGTTGTATGCTAATTTACTGCTCATCCATATGTATGGACTGGTAACTTCCATTTTATTGTATCTGAAGAAGTGTGCATGCACCCGAAAGCTTATACCTTGAAAAAAACTCTGGTAGTCTTAAAGGTGCCACTATACTCTGATAGCCTGTATCCCGTGACCTTTGAATGAAATTACTTTTCTGAGCCTGGAAATCTCTTAATTCTTCCTTTGCAATCACATGATGACATTATACCTCTTTTATTAGAAGATAATAAAATAATTATTATTTATTTATAAGATAATAGCAGACCTATTACTTTTAGCTGTGAAATTTTATGTACCTGTGATAGATTTTTGTAGGTGTTCAAATGGGGTCTAGCTTTTCCGATACATGAGTAATCTGCTTAAAATTAATAAATTAAGAAGCAGTATGAGGTAGATTACGTCTGCAAAGAAGACTAACTGTAGAAATGGGCAGGGTGTGGGGAAGACAGATTATGACTAATGAGACTAAACTAAATGGGCTGTTTGCTAACACTTAAAAGTGGACAAGATCCTGACTTGCTTGTGTTTCATAATCCGTCCAGGTTCTGCGGCACAATGATATTCTTGGAAAAGTCAAGAGGAAAAAACACAGTTCAAAATTAATGAATTAACAATATCACCAGGATTGTATGTAGCCAGTAGCCGGTGGTCCTTCTGGAGATCCCGAGAGTGGTCACAGCGTGATGTGCATACACTTCAGCGGAAGGCACTAAGAAATTTTTGGGGGTTAGTTCCTTGCTGAATTTTGTCATGTTGGTGGAAATGAAGAATGGAATTAAGCTCTGGACAAAGATGCCTTGAGGAGCATATTCATAATGAAGCGCTCTGCTGAAATGGTCCAGGTAGGCCTGCCAGGGATAAGAGCGGGCAGTTAGGATTCTCTGGTTTCTACACAGGATGGTAGCTAGGGCAGGGTCAGCAGCTATGTCCTCTCACCTAGTTGCATTCTTTCCCATCAACCAGAGTCAAGCTTTTGGCTTGACAGTTTCCATTTGAGTAATGGAAGGCTCTCCCCCAAAGTGACAATGCTTCAATTTCTCCCAGCTGACCCCCACCCCCCAGCTCTTTACAGCCACCATGCCCCCTCATACAAGGTGGATCTTTCAAGGTAACTCACCCTGAAGAAACCCCCTCTTTAACATACTATGATTCTGAGCATGGGAAGGTGCTAGAAGAGGTAAGCAAATTTTGAATTTAGAAAAACCTATTCTTACTGGTTGTATGTGGTTCTGGTACTCTGACTTGGATGGCCCAGGCTAGCCCGATCTCGACAGATCTTGGAAGCTAAGCAGGGTCAGGATAGGAAACTACCAAGGAAGTCCAGGATTGCTACACAGAGGCAGGAAATGGCAAACCACCTCTGTCTCTTGCCTTGAAAGCCCTAAGGAGTCGCCATAAGTTAGCTGTGACTCGCCGGCACTTTCCACCACCTCCATTACCGTCCTGATGCCAGCCATTCATATACACTGAAATACACCCTGTGGTTTGAGCTCAGTAACAGTGTTACACCAATGTCTTCTAGATACGAGAAAACCATTGGACTCTCTACGCATTCCTTTTCAGCCCCATTCAGCAGTAAAGGCTAGCTAAAGCCCTGTTTTTACATGGGCTACATGCAAAGCCCTGACCTGAATAGCCCAGGCTAGCCTGATCTCCAAAGCTGAGCACGGTCAGCCCTGATTCATACTTAGATGGGAGGCCACCCAAGGAAGACCAGGATTGCTATGCAGAGGCAGGCAACAGTAAACTACCTCTGAATGTCCCTTGCCTTGAAAACCCTATGGAGTTGCCATAAACCAGCTGTGACTTAATAGCACTTTTCATGGCCACATGTGAAGCACCAGTTCTAGCATCACAAACTACTGTCTCCCAACACAGTTTGTAAGATACTCAGGTTGGGGAACAAAGTGACATTGGACATAATTCTTTTGGGGGAGAGGCGGGCGCCTACTGCTGCTTCTGTGCATTGCCTGACCCTTTCTCCCACAGGCTGCTGAGCTCCAAAGGCAGGAGGGCAAGGCAGGTGTAAGAGATCCAGTCCCGCAAATTCTTACACGAGCAGTCAGCTCTGCCTCATGAATAACCCCAGCTCAAGCCACATAAACTCCAATTCCCCCTTTGTAAAAAAGAGCCAGAGCGGTATAGCTGTTACAGCATCTCACCAGTGTTCCTGCTAAAATGCGCTAGGTTGTGCTGGTGCACAAATTTTCAGCCCTTAGCGCACAAATTTTTGGCTCAGCGCAGGGTGACAAAATTGTCAGCTGGCTCTTTCCTCTCGCTGCCTCTTCCTCTGATGGCTGGCTCTTCCTTTCTACTTCTCCCCCCCCCGGCCTCATTTGTTCCCACCACAGAAAAGCATCATGTACTGCAAATGGTTCTCATCAATAATCACGAGGCAAAAACAATGTGACCAAAGTGCGGAAGCCCAGGGGCTCGCTGCAAAACAGCACTCATGAGATTGCCATCCTCCTATCAAAACAATTCATTTCCCAGACAACTCTGACTAATCACCTGGGCGTCCTTGCAGGGAAATGGCGGGCACCCTGGGGGGCTGGCCTTCTCCTGCATGTGAACTCAGCTGCCAGGAGACAGCAAAGGCACGAGTGAGTGCAGCGCCAGCCACACCATCACTCACCTGGACTGGCAAGCAGCGTGGACGTGTGTGAGAACACGCAGCCTCCAGTGAATAGGCGGGCAGTGGTGCAGGTGCGCATGAAGCAGGCAAAGGGCAATGCCAGCATTCCGCTGCAGGCCTCATGGTGGTTGGAAGATCAGTTGTGGCTAAAGGTGGAGAGGGAGGTCAGGAATGTAGGCAGGATGTGGCCTAGGGCTGTACTACCACAACCCAAAATCTCCATCCCAAAATTGGCAACCCTTGTCCTCACAAATAATATGCCAAACTTTGAGAAGTGGGAGATGGACAACTTCCACTGAAAGACAAACAGGCGGCCGGGGACACCCTGGAAGACTAACACAATTGAATGCTTAAAATCAAGGTTGCCAACTGCAGCTTTCAAAGTTCCTGGCAGTGGGAGGAATTTGGGGACAGGAGGGAGCTCAGTGGGGATGTGGGGCCACTGATGTTTCCCTCCCATGCTGCCATTTCCTCCAGAGGAAGCAATCTCTGTCATCTGCTGATCAGTTGTAATTCTTGGAGAATTCCAGGCTCCACCTGGAGGTTGGCAACCCTAGCTAGAATATATTATGTTGGTCTTTAAGGTGCTACTGTGTGCTATAAAAATGTTATGATAACAGTTATAAAAAGGTTATGTTAATAATCTTCCAAAAAAGTAATTTACGTGATACTCAAATCAGGCTTCCTCACAACTTTAATCCTAGTAGCTCTTTTGGCTCACGAAATAGAATTTTTGCTCACAACACTCTGCAGCTTAGAGGGAACACTACATCTAACTAGGATTTGGAAGTCCCAGGTTCAAATCCCCACTTCTGTCATGGAAGCTTATTGTCTGACCTTGGACCAGTCACATGCTGCCAACCTCACCTACCTCTCAGGGTTGTTTTGAGGAGGAGCTTATGTAAGCAGATGGGGTATAAATTAAGTGTATCACTATCCTCAGCCTTTCCACTATACTAGCTCAACACAGCATTTACCCCTAGAAACAGGAAAATCTCCATGGAGACACAACACCTACTTGCCGTTTAGGAAAACAGTTTTGAAAAAAACCCTCTACACTTGTAGTTTGAAATTCACCTTGGAGGCGGAATATGCCGTCATCAGAGGGGTTGGCTGGCAGCAAGACATCGAGGAAATGTTCACGATCGCCCCCTTCTTTCTCTCCACCATCCCTGGCAAGACCATATGTACCATCATAGTGGCTGCCCCAATATTGACATTGATGAGCTCCCAAATTTTATCCCAGGTCAGATTGGCGAAATAGTCTGGGTGAGTATAGAACACGCCAACGTTGTTCACTAAGATACCGATCTCTTTGTCCTCCAAGACGTTCTTGAGGGCAGGGTAGATCTCACTGCCTTTGTTGAAGTCCACCACGATGATGGCAGTCTCCACCTCGTAGGTATCGGCTATCTCTCGGGCAAGGGCCTCTAGCTTCTCCTGGTTCCGGCTAACTAAGATAATGTTAACCTTGCGGCTCGCCAGTTCTTTAGCGTAGTACTTGCCGATCCCTGAGGTACCACCTGCAACAGAGCAGAAGAACAATGAAACCCTGGCACTCCAATCCTAAATTTAGTTTGTTATAAGTCACTCCTATTGTTCTCAGCAGAATCTACTTTTAAGTAAATGTCTTAGGAGGGCAGATTCAGGCTCCATTCAGACATGGTGTGAAATTGTAGTTATAGTTCCTACGGTTACAGGCGGGAGGAGGAGGAGGATATTGGATTTATAACCCGCCCTTCACTACCCAAAGGAGTCTCAGAGTAGCTTACAATCCCTTTCCCTCCCCACAACAGACACCCTGTGAGGCAGGTGGGGCTGAGAGAGCTCTTTCGAGAACTGCTCGTGAAAGAACAGCTCTGAAAGAACTTGTGACTGACCCAAGGTCACACCAACAGCTGCATGTGGAAGAGTGGGGAATCCAACCCAGTTCTCCCAGATTAGGGTCCATGCTACTAACCAGTACACCAAACTGGCTCTCTATGGTCAACAAACTGGTTACTATAGTCGGTGTGATTTGTCTTCATGCAGGCAACTACACTACCTATGACGAGGAGGACAATCGAACCAGGATCTGAAGCTGATTTATAAAACACAGTTAGGGTGTGGTCAGACAGCATGCTGAGAGCGGGTTAAACTGCTCCGATTCTAACCGGATTATATTTGATCTGGATAATCGCGATCACACTTACCTCCCTTATCCTGCCTCACCGCGCAGTCACGTCACTCCCCGGCGTCTACACTACTGATGTGAGGGAGCGTGTGTCGGCGAGTTTTTAAAAATTTCTCAGTTTGCACATGCGCATAGGCGCCCTTCCATAGAAGGGGGGAGAAACTATCATGGCACATGCGCAGAACCACCAGGGCAAATCAATCCAACTCCTCCAACAAAAGACTTCTCTTTAAACGTTTGACCTGAAAATGGCCTCCGTGAGATTCCGAACTCAACTAAACGCTAAAACAAGTGACCGCTTAAATGTCGTTTTTCTAAACACGGTGGCAGAGCTCTGCCTATGTGCGTACCACCAACGCATTAAAAAATGGTGGGCGAAAAGCGGAAGCCTCGGACAGCTTTCAAGCGGGCAGGGGGTTTAAACCGGAAGTGGCTCGACACCGCAGGAGCAATCAGACGTCAGAAAAGTGCGGCTAGAACCGGAGAATTAGGAAAACACCACTTGGGGACCTGGTAACAAAATACTCTGTTGTAAAGGGGGTTTGAGCCGGAAAGCGACAGCTGGGGATGGTGTGCAGATGCTGGGTGTGTGAACGTGGATATAAAATCTGTTACTGAAGCGTGCCAAAAGCGGACTAAGCAGACTAAAGGGTGCGTTCAGATGCGCCATTTGATCTGGTGTCGTTACACTTCAGAAATGGATTTTATATGCACGATCACACAGTCAACATCTGCCTCCTGTCCCCAGCCGTTGGTTTCCGGCTCAAAACCATTTTAACCCAGAGTATTTTGTTACCAGGTCCCAAAGTGGTGTTTGCTCAGCTCTCCCGTTTAAACCCACATTTTCCCTCTGTGTGATCGCTCCTCCGCTGTCAAGCCACTTCCGGTTTAAACCCCCCTCCCCGCTCGAAAGCTGCCCAAGGCTTTCGCTTTCCCCCCACCATTTTTTTAATGCATTCGCGGTTTGTGCATAGGTGGAGCTCCGCCACCGCGTTTAGAAAACCGACATTTAAGCAGTCCCTTGTTTTAGCATTTAGATGAGTTCGGGATCTCACGGAGGCCATTTTCAGGTCAAACTTTTAAAGAGAAGTCTTTTGTTGGAGGAGTTGAATTGATTTGTCCTAGTGGTTCTGTGCATGCGCCATGATAGTCCCCCCCCCATTCTACGGAGGAGCACCTATGTGCATGCACAAACTGAGAAAAAAAATTTCAACCACTGATGCACGCTCCCACGCATCAATAGTGTAGACACCGGGGAGCGACGTGACCGCGCGGTGAGGCGGGATAAAGGAGGTGTGATCGTGATTATCCAGATCAAATATTATCCAGTTAGAACCGGAGCAATTTAACCCGCTCTCAGCACGCCGTCTGACCGCACCCTTAGTCTGAAGTATAGTTTTGTGTGATGTAAGACCTCAGACAGCCTAGCTTGATCCATGGCCATGCCCTCCCATGATGGGTCTGCCAGCTGAATCCCAGTTTCACAAATTAACCATAATTAAAATGAACTGTGGGTTTGCACAATTGCTGAGTTAAACCCTCAGTGCCTTAGTTCTATGCATTTTAATTTGGATATTATCAGTCTTGTCTCTTGACAAGCCAACCACATGAGTTATTAACTTAGGAATGAAAAGCTTGCACTGGATCACAAAACTATAATGGGCCACACAGGGCAGAGCCATCCATTTATCTCTTCATCAGGCCTATTTTCTCTCATGTCACAAGCCAGTCACAAGACTGAACCAAAAGAACAGCCTCTAGAGGTGCTGGATGAAAGTGCAGAAACAAGATCCAGGGAATGGAACAGCTAAGGAACTGGCCCATGAGTCCAGAGGCAGAAACGCGAACAGCTAGCAGCTGAGGAAATAGAAACACACAAGGATAGACAACGACTAGGTTTTCTGGTTTCGGCTCCTTGCCCAGCAGGCATGCACCGGCGAGCTCCATATGGTGCGGCCTGTTCTGCGGCAGCTAGGAGGGGATCCAGCTGTGCCGGTTCCCCCCTGGGGTCCCTGCAGAGGACCCCTCAGCTATGGGGCTTGAGTAGTGCCGCTCGCGAGGCACGATGCCAAGGGATTGAGGCACACTTTGCCCCAAAGGTCCTACTGCCGCAGCACCATCATGGTACCTAGAGGCGGGGGGCGTGGCTACGCGAGCGTCGATGGCAGATGCATAACGGCTCGCCTCCTCCACCCTACTCACTCCACGACGCATTAATTTCCTTCTATGAAGACTTTTTTGCCAGCAAACATCATGGGGAAAAATACAAACACGAGAGGGAAAAAAATATCCACGGCTCCAATATCGATGATAAAATTCTTTGCCAAAGAAGATGAGAGCTCTACAAAGGGCCGTGCTCCAATACAAGAGCCTAAAATGGCGGATGCCAACACTCTTGAGGACGACGGAACTGTTCTCTCCCGGTACGATTTTTTTACTACTATACAAAAATGAGAAGAAAACATTGCAGAGCAAGTTCATTAAGCCATAAAACCTCTAACAGAAGAACTGCAGTCAATAACTGAAACTCTATCCGAAGTCTCGCAAGCAGCGGAAACGGCTCTGGAGGGAGTCATAACGGCGCATCAAGAAATCCAAGAACTCCAAAAATCAGAGGACTGGACACGAACAAAAATCATGGCACTTGAAAATAAATTAAAAGAACAAAATTTGAAATTCAGAGGCCTACCGGAATCTGCGGAGGGTAAGTCGGAATTTAAGATTTTCTTGGCTAATTGGTTAGCAAAAACCTTAGAACTAGAGGAAGGCATAGCCCCTCTTATAGACATAGCGTATCGCCTCGGCCCCAACAATAAAAGAATGGAAAAATACCCTCGGGATGTTGTGGCTACCTTCCCGGACCTCCGTCTCCCGTGTCAACAGATTACTTCGGATTATTTTCATGTACTGAGTGGTTTACATTATTTGAAGAGAGTAATTGCCATAATATTGTTGTAATTATAAATTCCTTGTGACACTTTATATAAAAAGTATTTTGCCTAGAATTTTGATATTTCTGTACACAATTATTTTTGTTTTCTGAATTTGCACTCAGCTTTTCTCATCCTGGTACCAATGATTTACATTGCCAAGTTTTCTCCCAGCTAAAATAGCAGATTGCTTCCTTCGGAAGAACTTCAGTGTTCCCCAACTTTTTAAGGGAGGACCTTCTATGGAAACATTCTATGACATTAGACCAGTTCAGCCAATGACTGGGGTGGGTAATGAGCAACAGCTGATTATTACTTTAAAAGCTATGGTTGTATTTCAGGAAAGGGAAATGTGAATAAATCCTATCATTTTTATGTCTCTTACCTGTGACAACTGCCCATTGTCCATACAGCTTGACTAGATCAGCCTTCCTAACCAACCTAGGAATGAAATGCAACCTGACCAGGGTGTAAGTATCGTTCACAAAGGTGAAGCACATCTTGGCTGTATAAAGGGCTCCAATTAAAGCCAATGTCTCCATGTAACAATTGCAGGTCCGTCCAATATCTCTGAGTAGGAGAGAGAAGCTATCCACAGCAGCCATGGCAATCAGATGTCTGGGGGAAAAAATCACAAGAGATATTAGTGGGGATGAAAAGAATACACTGCAAGGGGTCTGCCGATACTGCCCTTCATGGCCACCATCTACAGAGATAGGAGCACAGGGAGGTTGCTGTCCCTACTGGAAGATGGAAAAGAGGCATTTCATTTTTAAAAGTCTGTTCATGAATTATGCAAGTGATCTCTCATGTGACAGGAATTAGGATAAAACAGGGTGGCATGATTGTAATGATTTCATGTTTAACTGTGTGTGTGTGGCTTTAAAAGTTTGGTTTGCATGGCTGTGATGATAATCTAGAGTGCTGGAATCAGGCAAGTGATATGATTGGTGAGTGACAGAGAGGGGGAGGGGTTTTGGAATGGATGCTGTGTGGAGGATTTGAATGTCTATCAAGAGGGTCAGTTAGAGATGACAGTTGATAAAGTCAGTGGAAGGGCAGTTAAGCTATGTATGAGAGAGAAGGAGAAGCTTCCCTGGGTGGGTTGTTAAGTTCTATGTCTTAGAGTTGAATAAGACAGTTGATAAGGAGTTGATTCTGAGGTCTGAAGGAGAGAAACAGTGAATTTACATGACCTTGAGTTTATGTTACAAAGTTACTTGAAACCTCCCGGGCAGTAAAGGAGAAGCTTGTGAGAGACACCAAGCAATTGTTCAAATCATTCCCAGTACTGTTTACATAGTTCTACCCTCGTATTTATGCTTTATTTAAATAAATTTTACTTCATTCAAGTATACCAGCTCTGGAAAGAATATTCCTCAGACCACATAGACCTTCATGAAAGCCTAGACCCTCGGTATACCTACCCAGTGATAGAAATATATAATTATAAAGGTTTGGAAAGCCTTATAAATTTCCTGGTGGCAGTCGGAATACCCAAAGTAAAATAAAAGGAACACTTTTAAAGTAGAACCAGACCTCCCCAGTTAAGGGGTCGTCACAATGATCATCTGGTTAAATTTCTTAGAATTCACATGTGACAATTAAACAACATGGTTGATGCAAACCCATTGACTGCAGCAAAAATTTCACAGCTCAACAGTGGAATCTGCAATACCAGCTGTCATGGAATAATCTTAGCAGAAAGGGATAAGTTAACTGATAAGGTCCAGAAATGGAAACCAGTGCACCAGTTGCAGTTTGGCATAGCATCATCTGTACAAGAGCCTAACAGTAGCCATACTGGATCAGGCCAAGAGCTCTTCTAGTTCAAGATCCAACTGAAGCCACAGAGAAGCCATAAGCAGAAAACAGCCCTCCAACTGTTCACTAGCATCTGACAATCGGAGGCCCATTCAGCCATCTTAGCTAACAGCCAACAATAGCTCTATCCTCCATAAATCTGTTCAACTCTCTTTTCAATCAGTCTAAGCCAGCGGCCATCACCATACCTCGTGGCAGAGAGTTTCACAAATCAGTTGCTAGTTGGGTGAAGTAGTACCTCCCTTTTGTAAGACAAGAAAGGCTGAGATCTGGACTCACTTCTGTTCCTGCTTGGTTGCAGGTATTTAGCCTGGCTGTAGCCATAGGCATTTCTAAGACGGGAGGAAGATGGGGAACATGTTTTTGCCAGCTAAGTGAAATCTGAGCTGAGCTTTTGTTCCCCTGTTACCCCATAATAATACACCAGCTCTATTTTCTCTGCTAAAACAAGACCAGGAGCCAATTTTAGAACAGCTCATGAATTGTTAATATCAAAAATTAGAATAAAGCTGAAGAAAAACATGAACGGTCATAATGCCAAAATACAATCTAAGCAACATTTCTGAACAGTTTAAAAACCATATAAACAGGTTTGCATTGTTAAGTTCAAGTGAATGTGAACCAGAAGAACTATGGGTTGAAACCAGAGATATTATCAAAGAAGAATGCACAAAGACTATTCCTGTAGCCAAAAGAAAAGAAAAGCCTAGATAGATAACTGATGAAACTCTTAAAATTGCTAAAGACAGATGAGAAGCAAAAGGTGACAGAAACAGAAGCAAAAGCCTAAATGCAGTGTTCCAGTGACTCACACATAGAGACAAAGAACTATTATAATGGCCAATGTAAACAAATAGAAGAGGACAACAAAAAAGGAAGAACAAGAAATCTACTCCACAAGGGCCAAGAAATCAAAGGGAAATTTAAATCATAGTTAGGCATGCTGAAAGATCAACACAGAAATACTTTAACTGAACAGGACAAAATAAAGAAAAGATGGGAAAAATACACTGAGGAACTGTACAAAAGAGATGAAGGGATGACAGATTCCTTCCAAGAAGCATTTTTGAAGAAGAAATTACTGTTTTTGAAAGTGAAATGAGAGCTGCACTGAGAGCAATTGGGAGAAACAAGTTACCAGGAGTAGATGGGATATTAATAGAGCTATTCCAAGCCTCAGAAACCTAGTCCATCAAAATTTTAACAAGATTATGCCAACAAATATGGAGAACAAAACAATGGCCCACAGACTGGAAATGCTCCATTTACATCTCAATTCCGAAAAAGGAGACATCAGACTGCAGCAGCTATCAGACCATCACATTAATTTCTCATGCAAGTAAAGTGATGCTCAAAATCTCACGACAAAGACTGTTACCATATATGGAACGAGAAATACCAAGTGTTCAAGATGGACTCACAAAAGGAAGAGATACTAGAGATCATATTACAAATTTACATTAGTTACTGGAGCATGAGAGAATTTCAGAAGAAAATCGGCTTGTGTTTCATAGACTGCAGCAAAGCTTTTCGACTGTGTGGATCATGAAAAGCTATTGTTGGCTTTAAAGGAAATGGGTGTGCCACAGCATTTGATTGTTTTGATGAGCAATCTATACTCCAGTCAAGAGGACATCAAGAAACAGAATGGTTTCCAATTGGTAAAGATGTCAGACAAGGATGACTTTTATCTCCCACTCTTTGTATGTCAAAAACATCATAAAGAAAGTTGGAAATGGTTTAGATGCAGGTGGAGTGAAAATGGGTGGAAGGAACATTAACAACTTGAGATGTGCAGATGACACCACACTACTGGCAGAAAACAGTGAAGACTTGAAACTACTATCAATGAAGGTAAAGCAGAAAGTGCCAAAGCAGAATTACAGCTGAATATTAAGAAGACAAAAGTCATGACTGAGAAATTACACAATTTTAAGGCTGATAATGAAGAAACAGAACTTGTTCCAGATTTTCTATTCCTTGGCTCCATCATCAGCCAAAAGGGAGATTGCAACCAAGAAGTCAGAAAGAGACTGAAACTAGAGAGGGCAGACATGAAGGAGCTAGAAAAGATCCTGAAGTATAAGGATGTTTCACTGGCGACCAAGATCAAGTTAATTCATGTATTCTTCATTACTATGTATGGGTATGAAAGCTGGACAGTTTAGAAATCTAACAAGAAGTAAAATTCCTTTGAAATGTAGTGTTGGAGAAAAGTGTTACAGATACCATGAACCACCAAAAAGACAAATAAATGGGTCTTCGACCAAATCAAGCCTGAATTGTTCCTAGAAGTTAACAATGGCTAAACTGAGGCTATCATACTTTGGTCACACCATGGGTAGACAAGGGTCACTAGAAAAGACAATAGTGCTAAGAAAAGTGGAAAGCAGCAGGAAAAGAGATGGATTGACTCAATTAAAAGAAGCCACAGCCCTCAGTCTGCAAGACCTGAGAATGGCTAACAATAGAATATTTTGGAGAACATTAATTCATAAGTCAGACACACACCAGTCTCAGTAAGTGCAATGAAGCTTGACTCTCAGGCATGCCTAGGATTTGAGCCTTGGATAACAAAATTAATACAAGCCATAAGCAGAGTTTTCTCCTGAAATGATTTGTCAAATTTAAATAATTAGCAACCCTTAGGAGGTAATACTACCGGATCAAGAGAGAAGCCATCATCAAATGCATGGCATTGTCAATTCCTCCTTTATGTGCCCCTGCTTTAAAAATTATATACTCACCACTGCTTTTCTTTCCAAAGCAAACAGGCAGCTACAAGCGTTTCCTGGCGTTCTTTATTCAGGTAGTCTTTTGCATCGGAATATAAATAACGAACACCTTGCAATGGTTTTTCATAGTCCGAGGCTGTCATTGGTTAAACCCAGGAAGGAAATCTTCTCTTTCTCCGCCCATCTCTGTAGTCGACAACCTCCAGCTCCGAGAAAAAACTTGGGAGTGGATTTTTGTTTTTCAAACGGGATGTAGTCGCTCGAACTGATCCGCCAAGACACAAAGATCCAAAATCCAGGTTTTCGGTTGCTGGCTTTAGACGGTCAGCCGTTCCAATATAGACTCCAGGGCCCTGAATCCCCTATTTTAAAAAAAATGGAAATAATATATTAAGGCCCCCCCATATGCAAGTATACCACTGGAACACGGCATAGCAAAAGCCAGTCTTTTACCTCGAATAATTTCCCACATATAAGTGTTTTTATATTAATGTCCTTAAAGGACTTGTAAGAAGCCAACCGCAGACTGAGCCGCAGCCACAATTCAATGCGATTAGAGCCCTTCTTCGGGGTTCCAAACGAAAGCTTAAGGAATGCCCATATGCGGGCCACGCAGGTGATTGTAGACCCTCGATCTAAAGCACAGCACACCATTTGCACATCAATGTAAAATAAAATGCAACACAAACAAGACGGATAAGTGAGCGAAATGCTTTTAATTGCTATAACTAACAGCACCACACTGACACACTCTCCTCCAAACGGAAATCGACCAGCATCCAAGACCCACATTTGTTACCTCCTCCAGTCTCTATGAAAGACGCCGCTCTATCTGTCGACGTCTCTACGGTGAAAGTCTCTCATAGATTTCACCTGGGACACCGAGAGTGGGAACTCCGATTTTTATACCGGAAGTGATTTAAAAAAGCCTCGCGACTGTGTCTCTTTGGGCTTCGGGTTACTTCAATCACTTCCTTTCGCCTTCCAAGGTGGCTTTTGCGCACGCGCTGGGAGGCCGATCCCGCCCCCCTCGGGACCTTGGTGGATGAGGCTTTAGCGCTCAGGGGAGGACTGGGTACCGTCAATAAAGTCTCGGTGAAGGGGCGGGGCTAAACTGCCCACAACCCTCGCGTGGTTCGGCCGTTCCGTCGTCATGGCAACGTGGGGACGCCGTTGGAAGGAGTCGTTGAAGCGAGCGGGTTTTGAAGGGGGGTGAAGCTGGTGGAGGGGAGGAGGCAGCTGAGGCTCCGAGGGGGTGCGAGGATGGCGCGCTGAGAAAGACACAGAGCGAGAGAAAAAAGACAAGCAGACACAGGGCGTAGGTATGGTTAAGACATCCTTCTAGAGAGGGGAGGCGCGCAAGAAAGGGGGTCGGTTTCCTCCACTTCAGTTATGCTGTATCTGACGGTATTCGTTGAAGGGAGGCAAAGGCGCTGCATCAACAAAACCGACACAAGCAAAAGTCGTGGGGCACCTGTTAAAAGAAGCTGAAGTACAAAATTGAACACATTTTTAGTGTCATCTCTACTAACTCTCACTGTGTACGGTATAACCTTACATCTATGTACAGGTGCATAATATTACAGTCTTATAGTGGCCGAAACTTTTATGAACTAGAGACCCGTTTACTCAGATGACAGCTTATCAATTTACTTAATTTTTTTTTAAAAAAAACAGCTGGGGTGTAATGGAACCTCAGCATCTTAACAGATGTGTTTATTTGTATCGCTGTTATTTTTAAAACAACCAGGAGTCTAGCGACACCCCAGAGTCTTACAGATCTGTTTATATAGGGAATTACTTTTCAGTAAAGCTCTCAAATGTGGCTCGTAACAACAAAATGTTTTTAATTATATTGTATGATTAAAATTAAAAAGCGGATTAGGAAGCAGCCCAGAAAATATAAATAACAGTAAACATGCTTAGTGCTTGTCTGGTCTTTTTACATTTTAATGTATAAATTAAACTGAGGAGCACCTTGAATCTCCAGAAACATAGTAACTTCTGTGCGCAGTCCCATTTCACTGCCTTAATGATAGGCACAAAACCAGGAAGTTCACCCTTAGGAGTCAAAACAACTAAAATTGTGTAGTATCTTAAAAAGACTAACAGAATTGTTGTGGAATAATTTTTTCCTAGCCAAAGACCATTTCAGATAGCTTGAACTGGCTCATGAAAGCTTATTTTATTTATTTATTTATGTATTTATTTATTTATTCATTCATTCATTTTGTACCCTGCCCTCCGTGCCTTCCCTGCCCAGGCAGGCTCAGGGTGGCTTACATAAAATCCCACATATAAATACAATTAAAACCAGACATAAAACAATCCTAAACAATTCAATTATCCATTCTCATAAAATGCTGGAACAGTGATCTAATAAAGTGCTGGAACAGTAGATCTCAAATGAGTAGTGCTATTATGCCACAATGTCTTTTAGTCTTCAAGGTACTACAAGAGTCTGTTATTCTGACTGCAATATACTAACCTGGCTGCCTCTCTGGAATCAGAAGAAGTGATATTTGTATACTACTTTTCGCCCATAATGTTCTCAAAGCAGTTCACAATAATAAACTACTACAATTAAAATAGGATGAATAAAAGCAGCAATTAATTTTAAACTACTAACTGCATATCACCTTTCAGCTCAAAGAAGCAGAACAAATACAGATCAAAGAAAGGATCATGGTACAACTTTCTTACACTTTGTCTACATAGGAACATTTGAAAATGCATCCTGTCCCTGAAGAACCTGGGCTGGGAGACGCCGTTGCAAAGGAGAGAAATGAGAAAGAGATTAATGACTGCAGTCATGCATACGTCCTGCCCAGCAACGAGGATAGCCTAATAAAAGCAGGTAGTTAATACCTTGAACATTTGCATTGATATAAGTGAATTTTGAACATATTTTGTAAATATGTTTCTATTTAAATCAGTGCTTACTTCTTGCTGATATTTGCTCACATATTTAAATCCAGTCTGAACTGGTTGAACCAGTGTGGTGTAGTCAACACTAGAGTGTCAGATCTGGGAGACTCCAGTTTCTAATCTTTCTACTATGGAAGCTTGGTGAGTGAATTTAGGCCAGTGGCACACTCTCAGCCTAACCTCAACCTGTTCTTGTCAGGGTAAAATGGAGGAAAGGAGAACAATGTAAGCTCCTTTGGGTCCCCACCAGTGTTCCCCCTAAGCTGAATTAGTGTGAGCTAGTTCACAGTTTTTTTAGCCTCTGGCTCACACATTTTTGTCTTAGCTCAGAAAGGATGGCTCTAGAGCAAACTAATTTATGCAGTAGCCAAATCATTCACTCACAACTTTAATGCCAGTGCTCACTGTGATGCCCTCTTATTTGGGGAGGTCTAGTTTTACTTTAAAAGTTCTTTATGTATTGCTCTCAGGGTACTCTCGCCGCCACCAGGAAAATTTAAGGCTTTCCACACCTTTATACTAATATATTTCTTCTTCTGGGTTGGTATTGTAGCCCGGGGTCTAGGCGTCTCGAGGAACTATGTGGTCCTGAGAAAGGATTTCTTTCAGAACTTGTATCTTGAAATAAAGTATATTTATTCAAATAACTTGTAAATAATATAGTAGTACGAGGTAACTGGTACTGTGAATATTCTTAACTCTTGCTTTATGTCTCACATAAGGTCTGCTCTTTGGCTGACAGGAATCTGAGCATGTCACTCTGTAACAAATATTTCCTTATGCCATATATGGTTACTGTTTCTTTATGCTTTAACTTTCCATAACACACAAAAGTCTTCTCTCTCATCAGACTTTAAAATGAACAGACTGTTTAACTCCTTTACTACATAGAACCAAATCTTTCCCACACAGGGATTGAGTCTCCTTCACTCAGAGACAGCACTTAACTTAACTCTCTCTCATACCATACTTTTACAGACTCCCTCACTGTCTTCATCAACTGTCATACCTAACAGTCACACCTGAAAGACATTCAAATCATCCACACAGCATCCATTCCAAAACCCCTCCCCCTCTCTGTCACTCACCAATCACACAACTTGCCTGTTTCAGCATTCTAGATTGTCCCACACAGCCATGCCAACCAACTTTTAAACACACACACACACAGTAAAACATGGAATCGTTACACTCACAAAGTAGAATTTTTGCTCACAAGACTCCACAGCTTAGAGGGAGCATTGGTCCCCACTAGGGATAAATGAATCAAATAAACTCCCCCTTCATAGTTTGGATGCTACTTGTTCTGTGGCTGTCATAATCTAAGAAAAGCTACAGTGGGAAAGGATACTTTATGCTAGAGAAGCCCCATGAGATTCCACTGGTAAAGCTAAATCTAAAAGCACCCCATAACACACTGCAGATTTGCTCTGTGCACCCCACCCTCAGTGGTGAGGAGGGTAACGGGGTCTTCTTTATTGTGCCTTACACAATTAAACATCTACCAAGCCCATTCCCTTCTCTCTCAATTCTAGAACCACACCTGACAGAAGGCGAACGGGGGACCAAGAAAGAAATGGTGGATGACACAAACCCGGAGCAATATAAGTGGGAGAGTATTAGGAAAGACTATGGCACTGGAGAACCAGGTAAGTGCAAGGGCATATTATAACAAATACAAATACAATACCTTTATTGGCATAAAATATCAAATACACATGCAGCATAGAGCCTCAAGATAGGCTGGAGGGGTATCACATTCCGAATTGCCTTAATATGAGCCTCTCCTCCTAGATACCTCATAAAAGAAATTTGCTACAGGATCCAGAATTTCTATGTTATGCGAAGACAATAAAGAACTAATTTTATGCTCATCAGATTGGCCCAAAAGGGGGTCCAACACAGGTTCAATATAAACAACACGGATGTCATAGTGGAATTTACAGTATGTGTCCAATGGATTCGATTTCCCCCATCCCACAGGGGCACAATCTATCTTTATAGGGAATTTTGTTGAACCTTCCCGATAGAACAGCTGAGGGAAGTACGTCGAACCGTGCTAGCATGAAAGCCCTACGAAGATGGGGCTGAATCAGTCTTGCCAGGTATCCTGAGGAAATATGGCTAAAAGAAAGTCCCATACTCACGGGAGAGCAATGTCTGTGCGCAAGTCTTCTCAGATCTTGCACCTCTATATCGAGGAGTCTTTGTTTGAGTAAGGCGAAAGCCTTCTGCTCAGACAAAAGTACCAAGTCATCAAAACTAAAGCCGATTATAGAAATTTTTTTTCTCTATATTAATCAACCAAGTCGATAGATGGGATTCAGTTAACATGTGCACCACAAGACTGTTTGGGCCAGATCTAAAATGAAGGCGCAGCCAAAATTTGAAGGTTATGGTCCATGCCATCGTAATTAACCGTCTTTGGGTTGTCTCCAGGCACATAGCTGCATATGGTACGCAAGCTGGTAGCCCCAAGATTTTCTTCAGGAACTTAGATTGAACACGTTCTACAGCTTCATTACAAGCTGAGATCCAAATTGGGATACCATAAAGCAGTTTGGCGGGTATTTTATGGTTAAATACTTTAAGAGCAGTGGGAATATATTGATGTCCTTTGGTGTAAAAGAAATGGGCAATAGCAAGGGCGTTGTTAGTTGATGACTTAACTGCTTCTTTAATATGTGTAGCCCAGGTTAGTATAATTGAAATAGATGCCCAGGTATCTATGGCTTTTGACTTGTTCAATTTTTTTCCCCTGAATAACCCACTTAATGGGCTTCCAACTTTTCTCAAACACAATGATTTTGGATTTATCGAAGTTCGGGCCATACCACCCTGAACACGCCCGATCTCGTCTGATCTCGGAAGCTAAGCAGGGTCGGGCCTGGTTAGCATATTATAACAATATACTCCCATTTGGAACTAGGGATCTATTTGCCATTTTAATTTCCCAGTATAATTTTATTAAGTCAAGTTATTAGGCACCTAGAGGTTTGTTCTTGTGCTTGGCTTGCCAGGATATTCAGGAGTAGGTAATATAGTAGGTATGTAGTTGGATGGATTAGGAAAATGTTGGGAATGAAGATTTTCCATTCCCATGCTTTTGTAACTGTAATATGCAACTTCGTGGTTATATAATATTGGCACTGTTGGTGGGTGGTTTTTTCCCATCACTGACCCTGCTTCTGTGCTTTAACAATGGCCCAATATGCAGGCATGTAGTAGGTGCTTTTAAGAGCATGAGAATGGTTTGCCGGATCTGTCCAAAAATATCTTTAGTCCAGTATCCTGTACAAACCCTACCCCCAGCTAGGATTCTAGATGGTTTTCTGTACTGCAGGGAGAAATGGCTGGGGTGGGAAGCCTGTAAGGGGAAACATTTTGCTTGGAGGAAAGGGATACGTTCTGCTGTACTGGAAATAGCATTTTCCACTTTAATGGGCATCGTGCCACCACTGGGTTTTCAGGATTAGGCCCAACCCCCCTGTAAATATTTTTATGTTTCTCACTTTTGTTTAATACTTTTAGAATGATGCTAGCAAAAGTCAGGCACAAAACCAGCGCTGTCTGACAAATGTTCAGCATATCCACATTTGTGGCTTTCTGCTCAGCAGCCAGTATACAAGGAAGTGCTTGAATAATTCTGTGCAGCAAAATTTTAGACTTTTTCTTTTCAAACCAAGCTTCTGTGTCACAATACTACTTAGACCCAAGTCGGAATTTTAATTTCTTTGTTCAACTGGATTTCTTAGATCTGTACATATGAGACAAATGTTGCCATGTGTTTGTTTTCATATAAACATATAATTGTTCAAGCACAAGAGAAAGGAGGCAGCTCAGTGACCGACATACAACAAAATAAAGAGAAAGTAGATGGTAATTATAAACCAGTGACTGACTCATCCAGCAAAAAATCAGAACTGAAACAAGATGGAATGAGGTAAGTTAAGTTTCTAACAGTATTCTGTACAAGCTTGTGTGGGTAAGACAAGCAAAATATTCTCTTAGCAATATAATAAAGTGTTCAAGAGCATTCTCCCTTACTCTCCTTCTCTGGCCCTTCCCTTGCTGGTATTAACCATAGTGCAGTGTTATGTCTGCAGTCGTAAACCAGGCTTAGCTTTAGGTGCGATGCTTGCTAATTAATTACTTTGTAGCAAAGATGAAGGCTGTTTACAGAAAGCTTCTAGAATGTATATTTTAACTAAGTCTTTTTCAGTGGCTCATGCTTCCTGTTAATTTTTTTAGAATGACCAAAAAGCTACTGAGGGATCTCTGCAAACAACACAAGTTATACATGACCCCAGACTTGAACGACACCCTCTATCTCCATTACAAAGGTAACAGTCGACTGTTACAGGCTACAGTGCAGCTAAGTAATATATATGTAACGTATGATAATGTAGACAGATAACTGGGGGTTGTTAAAGGAGCAAATTGAAACACAGAAACATTTGTTTTATTTTGTAAATTACATGCCACTTCTCCATCCTACAGGACATTCAAAGCTGCTTACAAATATAAAAAATAAACCAATATAAAGCACAAAAACAGGATCCTTTAATAATTTATTAAATCCATATTTCAGAAAGAAGTACACGCTAGACTCCCCTCGGGTTAGTATAAGCTAAGAATTGCTTTTATGGATAATATTCATTTAGTCCAGCACTGTTACTGTGGCTAACCAGCTGTCTCTGGAAGCAAACAAACAAGATGTAAAAGTGATGCTGCTCATTGGTTGATTGTCCACAGACCATACCAGGTTTTTTGGTGCTCATGTGCCCAATCTTGCAGGTGTATTGAATTTTGTGACTTTTGAGTTTACAATTTGCTATCAATTTTGCAAGTAAAAATCCAAGGCCCCAAGCCAACAAAAGTTAGTCGTGAGTAGTAGCCTGATCCTCCCCATCCTCACTCAAAACGAGCTTCTTCCCCAAGCAACTATGCATAGGACTGCAGCTTCTGTCTCACTGAAGCTATTTGAACAAGTGGTACATGACTAGTTTGCATTCAGTAGGGCATAAAGTAGAGTCAGTGGGGATATAGACATAGCTAACTGGCTGGACTGGGGCCAGTATGTCCTGACTGGGCAAAGGGGTCAGTGCAAACAGCCTGTTACTCAAGAAGTAAGCGCTGCCAGTAGAAATCCAGCTAAGAAACCCACCACAGGGGAAGGGAAACAGTGTTCTCTCTCCCACTGTTCTTCTACAGCCACTCTGCACGGTGCAGTAATGTTGCTAAAATTGAGTCTGTGCTGGTCGGTCTGAAATGCAAGACTCTGGTAGTCTTGCATTTCAGACCCTGACCAGCACAGACTCAATTTTAGTACAGTATGAGTACAATCTCATACCTTGCTTTGCTGCAGTATAGGTGTGCCACCAGGATGTCTACTTAGGTCTTCTCTCGATTTCACGTCTTTATTATTTGTCCCCCTCTAGGATTTGACCGTTTGGAGAATCTGGAAGAATATACTGGACTGAAGTGCCTGTGGCTGGAATGTAATGGCCTGACAAAGATTGAGAACTTGGATGCGCAGAAAGACTTGCGTTGCCTTTATCTGCAGCTCAATTTGATTCATAAAATGGAGAACCTGGAACCAATGCAAAAGCTGGATTCTCTCAACCTCAGCAACAATTACGTCAAGACCATTGAGAACATCTGTAAGGATCTCAGCCTTCAGTGAATTGTTTCAGAAATGTATTTGGGTGCTCATGTGTTAAAATACAGGGAGAAAAAATTCCATAGCAATTTTTGAATGACCTCTGGTGAAGGCAAGGTTAACATTCATAAATTTAGAAAGAAGGATAATGTAGTCTTCGTAAGAGTATTACGAAGCTGATCTCTGCAGTCGTATACTGGGAAACACTGAAATTCTTTAAGCAGCTTCTTCAACTAGTCAGATGTATAATAGGATTATTTTCCCTAGTAACTTGCCATGAAACTTACCAGGCAACCTTGAACCAGTTATTTTCTCTCAACCTAACCTGCCTTACAGGGTTGTTGTGAGGATTAAATGGAGCAGGAAGAACACAGAATTGCTGTCATGAGCTCCTTGGAGGAAGAACAGGATAAAAATACAGTAAATAGTAAAAGTTTCCCCGTTATGAAATTTATACCATTCTTTCTTGCATAGTTTCACCTGATGCACTGCATTGTTGTCACCAGATGTAACATACGATATATACTCGCCTTTAACTAACTTTAGCTCCACTGATTTCAGTTTTATGCACATAGGACTAGGTTTGGAATTTTACTTCTCCAAACAGCTTCTTCTCATGGTGACTGCTCAGAGGATTGTTTGCTCCTCTGCCGTTTGATCTAAGGCCTGTGCATCATTACACCAAGTCTTTGCAATGTGCTCCTGGAGACAATTTGGAGAAAATCTTGATTGATCGAATCTGGGAGCTTCATATACCACATGCTCTCTGAGCTCAATGTGTCTATGTTGCCCTCCACTGCTGCATTTCAATAGATTAAAAACAGGATGTTAGAAATTGAGCCCCAGAGGTTATACAGTTTAGTCAATAAAATCTGCTCCCCTTTGAGTTTCAAAATACCTCTTACCACAGGGAAGATGGCCTCATATTTATCTTCCCTGCAGGTTGCACAAAACATAGAGTGTTTACTCTGGCCAGATGTAATGTTATGCTTTTAGCCATTCTACATGGCAGATTTAACAAGATATCTCATTCAGCCAGACATTGCCCTTGCAAACAAAAACGTGTTGCATCAATTACGTTCTTTTGCATTGTCACCTGTATGTGGATCTAAGGTATATATATTTACATTCTACTTTAAGCAGTATGATGGACTGTTCTGGTGCACTCAAGATACACAGACTTCTGAATGACTTCTCCTCTGATATCAGTGAGAAGGTGGCAAAGTTTCTCCACTCTGCTTTAAAGCTGCGCCAAAGGATTCTAGAGACATAATTTTTTTATACAGATGTACCTGTGGGTCGTGTTTTTATTTTGCTCTTAAATTATATATTCTGTACCAACAACTTATGCCAATAAAGGCTAACTTGAACTTGACTGTTTTAGGAGTCCAGTGGCACCTTTAAGGTCTTAAAGGTGCCACTGGACTCTAAATTTGTTCTACTGCTTCAGGCCAACATGGCTGACCACCCGGAACTATTCTTAGGAAGATGTGCAAAGCTGTCCTCATCTATAGGGCTTTTAGATGAAGCTTTGTTTGTGAATAATTCTGAGGACGTCCATGAAGTGGAAAAGGAATTATTATTACCAGGACCTTGCCTGTATTGCTGTGGTTGATTTCTGATTTGGTGGTGGGGGGGTTTCATTGTTCATTTGTAATTTGTTTGCCATGGCAAATATTTAAAGAAAAGCAGAATACATACATTTTCTTTTTCTTTTCTTTTTTAAATCCCCGTAGGGATATTTTTTATTTTGCATATACTACAAACTACAAAGAAATATAGGGGAGGGACTACAACTAGGGATAAAGAAAAGCAAACCACGCTAGACTAAAACCCCAAGAGAAGGAGATCTTTTCACTGTTAGTAAATATGTTAGTACCATTAGTTTTATTATCACAATATACTTATTGAGTTCTTGCTTATAACAATTCGCTTCTTGTATGTTATTTTGTTGTTATGAGAGAACTCTCTGATCATATTCTTTGCTTCAAAAGGCCATTTTCCAAGTCCTTCTGCCTTTACTTCGGCTTTCTGTCTCTAAAATCGTATACCACTCTGGCAGGTCCTGCACCCTTTTCTGCCACAGAATCCTCTTCCGTTCCCAAGGTAGCAGAGACACTCTACTTCGATTCTCCTTCTTTAGACTCATAATCTGTCCCCAGCTGACGTTTCAAAAATTCTTTAGCTTTAAAAGTGGAGTCTATCTTCTCCCTTCTATCGTTGATCTTAAAGATGACACCTTCCGGAACCGCCCATCTGTACGATATTCCATTAGTTTGAAGAAAAGAAATTAATTCCTTGTAATTTTTCCTCTTTTGTCTAATTTCAAATGGAATGTCCTTTAAAGTTTTAATGGTTACATTTCCCATTTTCAGTGGAGTTGCTGATGTTGCTTTTAAAATGGCATCTCTGATTTGTCTTCTTGAAAACTTGACCACTATTT